ATATTTGTCATACAACAAGTGACACGTACCTCACGTGACTCACTACACATGTTACCTATTTCTATCACTCTGAGAGCGAGGAGGCCGTCGTCGATGTAGATTCTTCTTCCCTTCTGCAGGACTTTGTGCAAGCTGGGATAGTTCACCCAGATTATCTCCCCGTCTGTCTTGTCTTTGTCACTCTCTGCTGTCACCACTCGCACGTGGCGTCCTTTCACCAGCTCCACCTCTTCATCCACCTTCTGTCCAAACAGAATCAGAATAAGCTTTATTATCATATCATTGTACCAGGATACAGGGAAATTATGTTTGTACATTTGGCCGAAAGATGGGCGGAGTGCACAATGCTCCTGCTAAAATAGTGCGGCCCCTTATTCTTTATCAGAATACTTTTCCATAGAAAATGGTAAGAGCCACGAGCATAGATAGTGGTATTACAAAAAAGATCTCTTCACATCTTGTCCTATCAGATAGATGAAGCTTTGTCCCTAGTTACCCATGTCCCAGGAGAAATTTGATAGTCAGCTCGTATCCGAGGGCAAACAGGGGAGTCAGATTTAGATAAGCCACAATTGTTGATTTTCTTCAGGCACTGTTGTTTTTTTCTTGTCAGCCTCGAGTCCTGCTGGAACTTTCCCAGTCCAAAATGGCCAGATTTATGGGTAATTCACTCCACTGATCCGTGTTATGAGCCTTCCTCAAGGTGGATCCCAACATGCTGGCGAGTCCTGGAAACCGCAGGTGGCCTGCAATTCTCACAAATTGCCTCCATACGGTTTAGCTCGTAAATCAGCTGATTTTGAGTATTCATACCACGAACCAAACCTTCACACAGACTCAGAAGCTTTGTTATGGCTGAAACTGCTGCCGAAGTCTTCTTCAAAAGTTGATAAAAAATAGAGCACCGCCGATGCCAAAGAGCAGAAACCCTGCTACCATAAATCCAAATATATAAACATCTGGGGCATCCTCCTGAGACAGAACTGAACGACACATCAGCTTCCAAACTCCCCACGGATCCCTGATGTACCCCGCAGCGTGAGTCTCAGCTGGACAAGAGGGTTCTCCAGCACCCTGTCGTTTTGTTGAAAAGATTTTGTCGACTGCGTTGAAAGTCCATCTCACCAGATCCATAATAGTATTTTTCGTTCGGGAAATGTGTACCAGGAGCTCCAAGACACACAGAGTGCAAAGCAGGAGGAAGAGGAGAACAGGGAGAGGGAAAGCAGAGGCGTCAGTCTTGAGCGAGAGCCAGAGGAGAAAGACACACACACACTTCAAAATCCCATCAGAGAACACATATTTCTCAGAATAAAGACGCTTGTCCCTGCAAACTGAAGGTCTGACTCATCATTTAACAGTACGTGTTGAAAGAAAATTGTGTTTAGAGGGGAAAAAAAAGTGTGATAGAATAAACCTGTGAAAGCTTTTGTCTTTTTTAAATGAAAAAATTCCTGAGAGGTTTTGAAATCTGGTCCACGTGCACAATCTTTCTCTGCAAACGTGCTATTTGAATATGTTATGTTGGTGGGAGGAACTCATACCGGAGGCTCTGGGTTTCAGTGATGATGGCGACGGAACTCACTTTAATACAGTCTAATATACGGTAGTACAAACAAAACTTTAAAATTATTTATAAGAGGGCCAAGTGTTTGTGGCCTAGTTTAATCTTCTAAATAAAGCAACAAGTTGATTTTGGGGGCACGTGAGAAGTGAGACAGTGTGGAGATCCCATGTCACACAGAGCTCTTTGTAAGCTAATCAAGGCATGGAGAGGCTGCCAGCAGCTCAGAGGGATGTTCAGCCAAGTCGACGACAGGCAACAGAAAACACACAACACAACACAACACGACATGATGGTGTAAATGGAAAAGCAGCACCCGCCCACAGCTGCCGTTCTTCAACCTGTAAGAAGCAGTCGACTCATTTTCTCCACCTCCTACATCTGATTACACCGTTTTGATCCATGAAACACAAAGTGTTCACCCCTTTCACTAAGCCGGTGCGGATCTCTGGACCCTTGGTGTCCAAGGCAATGGCCACAGGTCGATAACACAGGGGGTCAGAGGTGATGGTCTCCACGGCCTCTCTGATGTTTTTGATGGTCTCGCTGTGGTACTGAAAAGTAAGGAAATCAGAGAAGTGTAACAGCAGAGAGATCAGCTGAGCGAGCACTCAAACACAACGCGTTCGCTCCACGTACTTCATGGGAGCCGTGAGAGAAATTAAGGCGAGCGATGTTCATCCCAGCTTTAACCATCTCCTGGAGTTTGGGGATGGATCGAGACGCAGGTCCTGAAAATCAAGAAAGAGCCGTTAAATTATCGGTCAGGCTAAAACGCACGAAAAGGTGTAGGCAATTCCTTCAAAGAATATTAGGCCTTTCCTTTAGTTTAGAGAGCTGCTCTGCTTTGGTGTCTGAGTTGCTGTTGCCAGGTGGAATCGTTTCAGTCTCCGTGAGCCTTCATAAAACGAGGTGCTTATAGATGAAGGACACGTTTTTGCTCTTTTGTCACATTTTGGGTCACATCTTGTACCAAATCTTTTCAGTGCACGAGAGCCGCTCTGTTATATTACACAGAATGTGCTTTGATGTCTTGATGCTAGCACACGTTGCTCTACAACTTCAGAAATAATGGTCCCATCACAGACGCGTGCAGCCGATCCATCTTTGTGTCGTAACGGAAGCTGACACTTTGAACTGACAACAGGCTGCATGTTTCATCTCCTCTTTAGCCTGGAGAAACGGGCATCTCATGAATAAAAAGAAAAGAGTTTGATGGCCCAGATTAAAAGAATATTCTTCACCTCAGGCGGCTGCATTTCTTGATCTTGTTCAGTCATAATTTTGTGGATAAAGTAACAAACGGTGCAGCAAAGTTTCAACTTTTTAAACTAAGATTCTAATGGTCAGACATAATATGTAATTCTTTGTCTCTAAAAAACGTGTTTTAATTAAACTGTGGAAGAATCAACAGTCTAAAGCTGCTGGTCCAAATCCTGCTATTCTAACAGTCACTGCACTTCAACATCTCTTCTGTCAGACAGTGTCATTATTGTGGGCCTCAGCCTCCACACAATAACAACTCAGAAAGAATTGAATGTGCCACCCTGACAATTTAACACTGCCAACAAACTGAGGGCCCCCCAGGACCTGGCTGTCTGACAGGGAGCTTGCAATGACGGACTACAACAAACTTGAAACTGAGACTAGCGGCCGGCTGTGCCACTCACCGATGGTGCAGATGATGCTGGTGTTGCGAGCTGTGATGGGCTCCTGGTCGATGTCCAGCAGACAGAGATGCTCCAAGAAAGTGTCGGCCATGCTGGCGTCGAGCTGCTGGCGCTGAATGAACGAGTCCGGCATTGTCATCACATCTGAGTAGCGCCTGATGCGAGCTGCAGCGACAGGAGAATGTTGTCAGTGGGGTGAAGCTAATCGTGAAGCTCTGCAGCCCAGATAACGTGTGAGAGCAGTATCACCGATGAGCATGTTCACGTTTGCTTTGTGGCAGGAAGAAAGAGCAGCTCACAGAATGGAGATGTGCAGCTTTACTGGTAAAATGAAGGATTAGATAAAAGAAAGCAGACACTGGTCTGATCGTAAATATCACCTGCAGGGGTCACAGAATTACATGCTGACACTCAGCTGAATACAACCCACAGCTCTGCAGATACTTCTTGACTGGCTCTTAGAAAAAAAGAATAAAAGCAGAAAATATGAAGAATAATCTGACAGCTTAAAGGAGAACAACAATAGCAGATCCTCACACAAGCAGCACTTTTAAAGGCTGGATGTTCTACAGGGAATACGAGACGTCACAAACTATTATTTCCATATTCATTGGAGCAGAAAGTAAGGTGAAATTGGACATGTTTTTTTTCCTAGAAGAAATATTCAGACTGATAAGAGAGCGTGGCTGCATTTTTTCCTGTTGTTGTCGTCAGCATATAGAGCTGCAGGAGCGTCCTTGAGAGCAAAATAAAATCAGTCCTCTCAGAGTCAAATAAAGTAGAAGGAAACAGACCAAAGCCTAAAACTTTTAGATTCTAATAAAACTCAAAGTGATAAAGTTTTTGTTTATAGTGAGGTTGTGTGGAAAGGTTAGGAACAATGAGTATTTTAACTGTTGTAGATAGCTCTTTGAACAGCCTCAGTCTGGAGAAATCAATCAACCTTTATTTATACAGGTAAATCCCATTGAGCCTCGAGGACTCATTTACAAGAGAGACCTGATTTCAACAAAGAAAGATGACAACAATGGACAACAGCAACAACAATAAACAGTTATAAAAAAAAGCATACTACAGTTTTTTTTTGTTATTTTTTTAACAAATAGGATGGGTAAAAGGAAAAGGTAACAAAACAAAAAACAGCTAGATTCCAAGACAAATGTAGAAAACTAACAACAAATACAGCTTAGTTCTAACTTATCGTAATAAAATTGATTGATTGATTGACTGATAGTATTTTCTCAGAGTTAATCTAGTTCAAGGAGCTATTTGCAACAGGTAAGATGTTGATTGTTTATAGCCTTTTTTGCAGAAGCTCGCTTCAAAAGGTCTGACTCTTTAAGGTCTAAACTACAAAACGAGTGGGTCACAAACGATGACTCAGCAGTTACGACTGAGTTCATGTTAAAGACTTGGTTCAAATCCAAGAAAACTTGTTGAGAAAAGCATTTTGCACCGTTCACCGACTGTCTCTGAACATGACTGCACAAATTCAACAGAAAAACAGGATGAAAGTCCACCATAACAAATAAAACAATGAAATCATTTTAAAAATAACAAGAAAATAAATTAGTTTATGAGATTAATTAAGTTTCACTTTGATGCATCTGCTCCTGGGAGCACATTTTGTGCTTTTTAAGAAGCTTAAATTCATTAAGTAGTAACTCCATTGAGCCTTAAGGGCTCAAATTAAGCTTTTTCTTTGCATAAAAGGAAATGATCAGATACACAGCAGGAGTAGCATTCATGATAATGCCTGTTTGTGTTCCCCTGACAAACATAAGTCCAATATTCTAGCTCTTTATTGGCTTTTTATCATAAAAATACCTGGCAGCCTGACAATCAGATGAATAAATAAAAATTTCCAAGGAACTAGCTCTTGGAAATGTGGCAATAATATTTGCAGTAAATCAAAACGTTCAAGTTGTTACAATGAAATTCTAAATAATGAACTCAAAATTGATCTGAAAGATTAAATATCACAATTTTCAGTTTCTTCCCCAAAAGAGCTCGTCTTCACACAACATTTCATTAGTTGTTGCTAGAAAAATGCAGAACTGGAAATCTTACAAACAAACCAGCTTAGTTAAAGGTCAACCACCCAAACCAGCAAATTCCAACTACAGTATTTTTCATAAATCACCTCCTGAAATCCTAAAATTTAAATTACAAGTATAAATGATGGCTTTCCACAAATCACCACCTGGAAGATGAGCTCACATCTTTCATGCAAATTGTTGCGGAGCTCCATAAGAGCTTCGCTCCTGAACAATGAAATCCATTTTGAAGGGCGTCACAGTCGGTCAAGCCTGCAGGGCTTTTTTTGTGAGGACAGAATAAAGACCAAGAGGACGAGTGAGGAGCGTGATGGACAAGGTCAGTGGAAACAGAGCGTCGGTGAATGAAGAGTTGGGGATGGAGAGGGTGGAAGCGAGCAGGGAGGATGTGACTGTGGGTTTAACAGTGAGAGGGAAGAGCCTCAAACGTCTCTGATATAGTTACTAAAACTTGTGGAACAGTTCAAATCTGCTCATATAAACTGCACAAAAACGTGTTTGCTTGATTAATAATTTGTTGTAACAATACTTACTAGCAATAAATCAAATATTTTTGGATAGTCTGTTTATTTCTACTTAAATGGGGCCACATTTGTCAGGAAAATGCATTTTGAAGCAGCATGTGGGTGCACCGATGAAGAACGTGTCAAATCTTCCTGCCGTTATTCTTCTAGTGACTTGCTTTGGACCACAGGTGCTCACAATCAGCACCTGTGATCAACCAGCGTCAGTCTCATATCTCCACAGTCTGGCACCAAACTCTATCCTCCGTGATGACACCGCTCACCCCCCCAGAGCTGGTTTTATCAGGGACAGAATCTGGGAGCGCCTGTAGTTCTGACCTGAGACCCTCTGAACTGTGGGATCAACGTGGACATTTGTTCCAGACTGACCAACACAACCACTTGGGATGGGATGCCGTCTCAATGCAGCATATGATTAAACTGGTGAGCAGTCTGAGGAGGAGAGCTGTTGGAGCTGTGTATGGTTCTTCCACATGCTACTGGAGCCCATGTTTGTTAAACAAGTCAATTAAATGGCCAACATGCCTTGTTTCTTTAGTAAACAACACCAAACATGAGTCAACGATTAGTTGTTTGGCAGGAAGAGTTAGCAAGTTGTTTTTTGTTTTTTTTTTTGGACAGAACCTCCACACTCAACTCTGCTGCTCAACTCACAAATACATTTCTCTAACACACGTGGTGCCATTTGAGGGTCTATAAACAAACTTTACAACTGTATGAGATTTATTGCCAAGCAGTGTCACAATCAAGAAAGAATCAACCAGACACAAATCTTACTTGTGCTGTTTATTTGAGAACAGTCTGACAGAACTCCAAGAAGATGGTGCTGGTGGGGTTTTCAGGACGTGAACTCAAGAAGCTCCTCCATCTCACACATTCACAATATGTCAGTCTTCCTTTTCCACTTTGTGTCTGTTTCTCCTGTCTCTGCACCTCCCTGTGACCCAGTTCTGCCGCTCTGCTGCACACATCGTTACAGGCCTCCTCTGACACTTCCCTCTGCCTGTACACATGGAAACACTCGCATCGATCCCTGTTCTTCAAAGGTTGACTATGACTTCAGGTCAAAGACACTGAAGTTAGGAAATATCGGCTCATGCGGGGACATCGTGATAACTTGTTGGTGCTGGGCCGGAGCACGATGCACCTGGAAACATCTGCCTGCAGAACGCAGATCAGAGGGTGCTTCTTCACAATTCATTCATAAATTTAAATGAGGAAGTTGGATTTTTGTCCAGCTTTGATCAAAACGTATCTGACAAACAAATCAGCAGAGCATCTGATATGAAACTTCATGTTGCACTTTTATCAGAAAACATGCATTCATCTCAGTTTAAATAATAATCATGAAGCTACACAATGATCTGCTGCAAACTGGATCAGATAACAAAATGCAGATTATAACTTAGTTGTATATAAGGTGGAAAATTAAAATTTAATCCACATACCCATATTCAATAAACTGTCCATCAGAAAGTCCCGTCCACTCAGGTCGTTGAAGTCTGAATGTTCTCTGTCTTTGTTCCGTCCTGCGTCTGTGTCGTCCGCTCGACTTTCACTGACTCTGGTCACCTGAACAAACACTTTGATTCACTTTTACCCTCTGACCTCTCTGCTGCTGAACACCCCCCTCCCTCCACACACATACTGACACTTTCTCCCCCCACTCACACTGATGGCATTAACTGGATCAATGTGATTCTAAAAGTAGCAACAACAAAAAACACTTTGTGCCAACACGATGACTCAAAACTATCAGGGTTCAGTTTAAATTTAGTGCTGAAAATTTAACACTAAAGGTAAAGTGATGCACTTATATTTGGAAAATAATCTGGTTTCATAATAACATTTAAAAAATTACAACTTATTCAGCAGTTGAGACAGAAGCACACTCTAAATATTGCAGCCCTGCTCTGTTGTATCTTTAAAGCCTGATGGATTAGTGTGACCTGCAGGTCGCTTTTGTGAAATGTAGATTTTCTTTTCTTTTGCTCAGATTGTAATTATTTTCTTTTTGTTTATTTCTATTATTTTGTTATGACACAAGAGGTGGATGGATGTGCAAAATCCTTTTAAATCTCAAATAGGAATGAGTTTATGGTGTTTGTGCTGATTGATAAGTGAATTTTTGTTTTTAAAAAGTAAAAAAATAGCACTGGTTGAATGTACAAACCGGATTCCAAAAAAGTTGGGACACTAAACAAATTGTGAATAAAAACTGAATGCAATGATGTGGAGATGGCAAATGTCAATATTTTATTCGTAATATAACATAGATGACAGATCAAAAGTTTAATCTGAGTAAATGTCACATTTTAAAGGAAAAATATGTTGATTCAAAATTTCACAGTGTCAACAAATCCCAAAAAAGTTGGGACAAGTAGCTATAAGTGGCTGGAAAAAGGAAATTGAGCATATAACGAACAGCTGGAAGACCAATTAACACTAATTAGGTCAATTGACAACATTATTGGGTATAAAAAGAGCTTCTCAGAGTGTCAGTGTCTCTCAGAATCCAAGATGGTAAGAGGATCACCAATTCCACCATTGTTGCGCAGAAAGATAGTGCAGCAATACCAGAATGGTGTCACCCAGCGTAAAATAGCAAAGACTTTTAAGTTATCATCATCAACCGTGCATAACATCATCAAAAGATTCAGAGAATCTGGAACAATCGCTGTGCGTAAGGGTCAAGGCCGTAAAACTCTACTGGATGCTCGTGATCTCCGGGCCCTTAAACATCACTGCACCTCAAACAGGAATGCCACTGTCAAGGAAATAACAGAATGGGCTCAGGAATACTTCCAGAAAGCATTGTCAGTGAACACAATCCACCGTGCCATC